TATATATATATATATATATATATATATATATATATCTAGCTGATGAGAGCTAAATAGCTTGAAATAGATCTATACTAGTCTCCCTTTATTTATTTATCAGCACAAATACAACAAATATATATATGCAGTACTGTGCAAAAGTTGTAGGCAGGTGTGAAAAAATGCTGTAAACAAAGAATGCTTTCAGAAATATAAATAATGATTTTTTATTTTTGTCAATTTTCAAAATGCAAAATGCAAAGTGAGCATTCTTTTTTTACATACACACACACACACACACACATACACGCAAACCAAATATGAAAATTTCTATCACTAATATACTCAACTATGTTTAAATCATAGTCATTTGAAAGACTAGTTAAATTAAAACTGAAAAATAACTTTTCATCCAATATCAAATTAAAATACTCACCTATATAGACCCTCCTGCTGTATCTCTGCATTAACAATAATACAAATACATGCAGAGGAATAAGGTTGATAATGAAAACATAACCACCCCATGCAGAAACCTGTGAAAAATTAATACAGTAAGCTTTAAAATTTAGTACATGTTTACAATGTTATCCTGATGAACATGAGTCATTGAAAACTGAGTATTCAAGTTATACATGGTGAAAAGACACTTTGAGCCACAAGAAAAACTTGTAAATCAGAGGTAATTCAGGCAGAAAATTAAGTAACAATTAACATAACAAATAATTTCTTATTTCAAATACTTCAGTTGTATAATCAGTAAAATAGTTTAACAGCAGCATGAATAGCAATTGCTGTGGTAAGCTCTTTTACATAGTTACAAAGTTTCTAGGGTTATAAATGATCCTCACTGAAGAAACGTTTTTTGCTTTTACACTGTATGTCAATACTGTATGTTGCAATATTTCCATATTGCTTTATGAAGCAACACGGGGATAAGAACTGAAACCTATCTCCCCTTGAATTATTCAAATAAAATGTAACTAACAAATCAAAGGGCATGAAGGTGGCTAGTGATACCAAGAATGTCTTCAGTTATTTATCAATTCATTGTTGACCCTCATTTAATAATTCTCTAAAACTCCTGAAGAAAATCAGCTACTGTGAGCAAGGTCATCTCATTTTCGGTCAACCCTACCATAGAGACTTGTCACTAATTAATTTGCAGAGACTTGCTTTAAAAACCGATCAACTCACATTGTCTGCTTAGGATGTTAACTCAGGAATACAAGAACAGCCATAATAGCATACTATAAAAGTATGCTCGTCTTCTACACCGAAGCAGAGGTGGGCTGCACTTACGTTCACAACTGGTTTGCTGGTTGTGAGAACGCGCAAGTGTGTGCAAGCGAGCTTTGCTCGCACACACCCCTTTGGGAGTGAAACAGAACTTCAAAGAAGCAGGTAATCAACTCAGGCAGATCCAGTGAGTAAAGCAGGGATGGTGTGAAACTCAGCTGGGCAGAGGGAACAAGCCAGAAAATTAGTTATAAATGGATAGCTTAGCACAAGTGTGGGTGCGTGGACCCAATCAGTGATCAAAGCTACGGGGTTCACCTTAAGCTGCGCGACCACGCAGCAGCCCACCACTGCACTGAAGTTGTATTTCAGTACAACAGATGCGGTCATATCTGCTGCCTTTAGTTAACTTTAAAAATACCTCTGCCCTCCACAAAGCCAGGTGGCTAAGAGGAAAAGAGAAAAGTAGCATTGTTCGCATTTAATTTTTAGTCTGCCCACAACCATCTTTCAGCTTCTAATTAACACATTACAGCTGAAAGAATAAGAGACTTAAAGGAAAAAAGTATTCATCTCTGTATTATCTAATAATATGGGTTTTCTAAATTAGCACAAGCAGCACTTAGTCCAGATTAAATGAAATCTGAATTTTCAACCAGTTTAAAATACTTGTGCTAATATTTAATATATAAATAAAAGCAGCGTACTAATAAAAAATCTGACCATTTACACATTCACATTCTACCACTTACCATGTAGAAGTAGGATAGACAGCAGCAAATGATCCAGAAGACAGATCCAGTTTTTACTGACTTCACCTAAGAAAGTTGTCTGAGTTTTAATTATAGCAGAAAAGACAAAAAATATACATTTTTTTTACTGTGCTCACAGTAAAAAGTGACAATAAAGGTTATCTTATCTCATTGTGGGAAGCCCCCCCCCCCCCTTCGAGAAGAATATTTGGAAAATATTAAGAGGCAGAATATTTTATATTTCCCCAAAGGAGAAATGGAGAAACATGTTCTTAGAGGCAGAAAGCAGCCCCCAGTCTTTAATAGCCCACAGCAGATGCCAGCACCTAAGGAGATAACGAGCTTATTGAAAGAGGAAGCCAACTATCTAGATGGCTCCATTCATAAGCAAAGCAAATACTGCCCGCAAAAGTCCAATCAAGACAGGATATTTCGAAAACCCTTAAGAGAAAAGTTTGACAGCTAACAAAAGCAGAGTATTAGGGTTACAACAAGTAGCTTCTCGCATAAAATCCAGCACAGGACATAAGCCATCAGCCACAATGGGAATTGTCCAACATCCTCTTTAGAAACACAAAGCCCATATTGCACAAATCCCAAACTTCAAAAACACATAACCATACAAGAACCCTTCCTCTCACTCAGCAAGCTGACCCAGAACTGCACACTGTCTTTATGTGTGGTTCTGTTCATCAATAAACTTTCTTTCCAATCAGCCTCTATGTTGTTTGCAGTGTCCTTCTCCCAGCTTGGAACGGAACCAGATGGATTTTCCTTCCAACATTATCTTATACTCTTATTAGAATGTTTTTCAGAATTTACCATTTTTCTAGATCAGAAAAAGACCTTATAAAGTCATCTGATCCTTTAAGCATTAAAAAAATGTTTGAACTGTTATCTTAAAGACCATGTACTCATTTGTTTTGAAAAGCAAACAACAGTAGAAAAACTTTGTTAGCTATATTTATTTCTAGTGACTATTAAAAAAATAGGAAATTATTGTGCACATTCAGATTTTTTAAAAAGTAAGCAGAATTTATACAGCAGTACTTACCCACAAGTAATATGTGAACTGTAGTGCAAATATAGCTATCCCTTCATTGTCAAAAGATCCTGCAACTGATCTTGATATGTAACCTGGAACAACAGCAATAAAACAGGCAGCTAGAAGCCCGGCTCCCTGGTTCCATAGTTCTCTGGTAAGAAGGAAAGTAGAAATTGACGTAAGGCCGCTAAAAACAGGTGCAAGGAACACACACACATCTCTTATGTGGACAGTGATATTGAGCATATTTAAGATCCAATGTATAAGGCCAGCTGTCACCATCAGTCCTGGGTATACCTAGGAAAGGAGAGAGAAAACAATTAACTATATTGTAATAAATACACAGCTACAGCCACACATACACACACACGACTGACATTAAACATGAAAATTCTTCAAATAGTAAGGACACACACACACACACAAGAATTGATATTATAAAAACATGAAACTCCAAGTTGTAATCCAAGCAGAAGTTATTTCAGCAACTCATGTAAAATAAAAGTCAAACATCTTGTTCAGCAGTTTAGCAAAATAATCTACATATCAAAAACAAAGGCACTAATGTTACAAAAGCTGCATCATTCTCAATGTCAAGAACATAGTGCATATTAATTTTATATCGAGATTAAAGAAAATTGTCTATTGAGATATTTTTCCACAATTTCTTTAGAAGTTCAAATGGGCATAAGCTAACGTACAAAGATACTGGATAAAAGTATGCAGAAAACGTGAAACATAGCTGACTGAAGGAAGCAGCAACAATGAGAAGAGGAAAGTGAGGACCCTATGGCAAGTTAGACATTTCAACTGGCTGATGAAAATCTGGAAGGAGAGATCAGGGAACCACCTATTTTGTATTCTGTATAGCTGGTCCTAATGAAGCCACAGGAATTGAGCTGCTTGTGGTTGTTCATGAGTTGTGTGGCTTGGGAGCTGAGGGGATATCAAAGTGCTCTAAACTGTGCAGCCTTTATGGATATATGAAAGTTTTAAAGGGATAAAGGGGACAGTAATTTTAGAAAACAGAAGAATACAAGGTAGCCCTTGACTTACAGGCACAATTGAGCCCCAAAATTATGTTGCTAAGTGAGACATTCTTAAGTGAGTTTTACCCCATTTTATGACCTTTCTTGCCACACTTGATAAGTTAGTAAGTAACATGGTTGTTAAGTGAATCTGTGTTCCCCATTGACTTTGCTTGTCAGATGGTTGGTTGGATCACATGGCCCAGGGACACTGCAACTGTCATAAATATGAGTCAGTTGCCAAGCATCTGCATCTTGATCACATGACCATGGGGATGCTGCAATGGTCACGTTAAAAATGGTGAAAAGTAACTTTTTTCAGTGCCATTGTAACTTCGAATGGTCACTAAATGAACTGTTATATTTTTTTCTGATGAAAGTGTCTTTCTGTAAGAGGAGTGACAGAACCTGGGGGCAAAGTCAAGAGGAATTAGCCTAGAGCAGACATGTTAAACTCGAGGCCCGTGGCCCAAATGTGGCCCGCAATGTGGTTAGATCTGGCCCGCAGGGCCACCCTGGAGACAGTGAGGGCCTGGCCACTGCTGCCTCAGCCCCGGCCCACCCCAGCCCGGGGCAGGAACTCTCCCTGGGCATGTGCACAGGAGGCGGCGAGCACACGGGGGGTGGCACACAGCTCACCTGTGATAAGCACTGTCTTGCCCAAACAGCAGCACCCCACCCACCAGTGCCTACTCGCCAGCCCAGCCTCATCCACTGGCCCCACAGCCTGCAAGTGCTTCCCTTTCACCAGGAGGGCCCCCGCCCTGACTTCCGACCCACACCCACGTAGGAAAGCCACAGCCACTGGCAGTACTGCCGCCCTCTCCCCTTCACCTCGTCCCTTCCTGGGCACGGAGGGAGGAAATGGGAATGAGGAGGGAGGGAGGAAAAGAAAGGAAGAAAGGAAATGGGAGGGAGAGAGGGAGGGGGAAAAGGAGGGAGGGAGGGAGGGAGGGAGGGAGGAAAGAATTGTGAGAATCAAGAAATATAGCCTATTGATCTATTAGATTCAATAAGTCCTATGGATGATAGAAGGCCCCAGAAGAAAGAGATATGAACCAAAGTTTTCAGCTAGGATGGTTTCAAAATTTACCAGAAATATTTGTAATCCTGCTGAGCGTTGCTAACTGTGAAATATGTTTGTATGGATACATTTAAAACAGGAAGAATGAAACTGTTGGAAATGAGGAACTGAAAGTAATGTACACAGGTGTTTACAGAAAGTGAGTTAGTGAAGTTGTGAAGCATGTATGTGGTTAGAAGTAAAGTATAAAAGATAGGGTTCAAGATCAGCTGGGAGCCCTTTGACTTATAGCAGTCCTTGTAGAACCTGCTATATATCATTGGACCCCATTGCAATGGCAATTGCAAGGAAGGAAGGAAGGAAGGAAGGAAGGAAGGAAGGAACTATAATAGTCTTTGCCTCTTGTTTTTTAATCCCTGCTCCCTCATAAAGCTTACTTATTGATCTGCACCCATTATTGTTTTTAGCGTTTAGCTAAAGGGTAGGGAAACACTGTACACTGAACATTGGAAAAAGGATTAGGTGTTGGGCAATGAATCAGAATAGATACTGAAGTTTAAACGCTGGTGAACCCTTGATCCTAACCACTTTTCAAAAACTCGTTAATGAGCTGCACTACAGAACTGGGCAATGGCTCCATCTTAAGCAAAACTCAATAGTAAACATCCTTTCCTGTTTTTTTCTTAACCCTTATTATAAATTTCCATTCTTGCTGAAAAGTGAATTAGGATGCATATCCCAGGTCTAAATCTTGCACTGGTTGTAAAGCTTCAGCAACCCTGGATAAAGTGCTATGTGTCATCGTTTCCCAATAAAAGTGTAGCCTAGAAATAAAGGGGGGCTCACATCTTTATTGTAGTGTTATCTACTCTATTAGCCACCTCCAAAGTGCCACACCCCCATTGGGGCCTGAGGCTAGTTGGCACAGCCATGTCTTCAAGTCCTTTCGGAAGGCCAAAAGGGTGGGTGCCAATCTCACCTCATGGGGCATGATGTTCCAGAGGGTGGGAGCCATGGCAGAAAAGGCTCTTCTTCTGGACCCCGCCAGCTGAAATTCCTTAGCTGATGGGGTCCGCAGCATGCCCCTTCTGCCAGCGCAGGTGGGGAATGCCAATCCCATTGGGGTGAGCTGGTTTCTCAGATAGCTTGGACCCATGCCATGCATGGCTTTAAAGGTAATGACCAACACCTTAAATTTGACCCAGAAGCAAATTGGCAGCCAGTGCAGCTCACAGAACTGTGGTGTAACATGGGCCAACCTGGGGGCCCCAACAACTGCCCTCACAGCTGCATTCTACACCAGCTGAAGCTTCCAGATGCTCTTCAAGGATAGGCCCCATGTAGAGCGTATTGAAGTAGTCCAAGCGTGAGATGACTAAGTCTTGAGTGACTGAGTACAGGGACTCCCAATCTAGGAAAGGGCACAACTGGCACAGAACACAAAGCTCTGCAAAGGTTCTCCTAGCCACGACTGCCACCTGCTCATGAAGCAGGAGCCACGACTCCAGGAGAACCCCAGATTGTGCACTAGGTCTGTCTGGGGTAGTTCCACCCCATCCAGAGCTAAAGATGTTAAAGTCCTGGAGCCAGAGGCTCGACACAGCCAAAACTACTCAGTCTTACTAGGGTTCAGCCAAAGCCTATTGTCCCCCATCCAGACCCTCACAGCCTCAAGTCCCCGCAAAATGGCAGTGACAGCATCATTTGGGTCACCAGGGATAGAGATGTAAACTTGAGTATCATCAGCATACTGATGGTACCTCATCCCATGGTGATTAATGATCTCACCCAGAGGCTTCATGTAGATGTTAAAAATGAGTGGCAAGAGTACCGAGCCTTGCGGCATGCCATAAAGGAGTGGCCATGGACTGGACCTCTCACTCCCTATCAACACTGATTGGGCCCACCTTGGAGAAAGGAGCCAACCCAGCACAAGACTGTGCCACTCAGACCCAAACCTGCAGCTGGCCCAAAAGGATGCCATGGTCAATAATGCTGAAAGCCACTGAGAGGTCAAAGACAGCAAGGATGGATACAGTACCCTTTATCCCGCTCTCACCAGAGATCATCCATAAGTGTGACCAATGCTGGTTTCTGTCTCATAACTGGGCCTGAAACCTGACTGGAAGGGCTCTAGATAGTTCATTTCATCCAGGACACTCTGATGCTGCCAAGCAACCACCTTCCCTACCATCTACCCTAAAAAGGGAAGGTGGGAGACTGGATGGAAATTGTCCAGACAGGTGGGATAGGGCGTTGGTACTTACCTGATACGCCTCTTCTCATAGTGGGGGGAGGAGTATCCAGAATGGGTTGACCTTGTCCTCTCACGATTGGATGAGTCAGATAAGCTCTTCGGGCAACGCCCCGTGGCCAGCAGGACTTCCCATATTTGACTCATCCCACTCAATGGAA